GTGCAATGCTAAGGACCTCCTGTCTACCCTAACCCATTCAAATGAAACATTTCTCAAGCAGTCAAGCCCACCACCTTAGGGATGTCTCAGTTTATATCCAGCTAATGATGTAGCAAAACCTGAACCAGAAATTTAACCATGTTTAATTGGCCCTTAATGGCAAATCATTTTTAAACTAATTTATTCAGGACCTATAGATAGTCTAGTTTCTTTAGGAGACTATTTTTTTCATTTTAAGGCACCACATCTCTTTCACAGGCAGGTGATGTTGTACAGAAAGAATCCCCAGGAACTGTTATGTGGGGCCAGTCTCTTAAGTGACCAGTGGATACTGACTGCAGCCCACTGCATTTTATACCCACCCTGGGACAAAAACTTCACTGCAAATGACATCATCGTTCGTCTGGGCAAGCACTCTCGTGCCAAGTAAGTACTGCAAGCAGAGTGGAAAAAAGGTTCTTCGGCTCCTGTGAACCTGGCCGCTGTAGTTACTGATGCCCCTTTTCCAAAAGCGTCATGAATATACAGAGAAAGCCTTTCATTAACAGTGAAAACTCAGCAGAAGCGGTAGCATTATGAAAGACATTCAAGATCTCCGATTGTATTATCTGCTTTGGGCCACCAGTTAAAGGTGGTCAGTGGGCTTACAGCAGGGCCACTTTTCGCCTACTGTATCACCTATATATGAGCGTCAAGCTGGGTAATAACTTTAAATAACACAACAGCCTTCATGTAGTCACCTTGTGTGGTCACATTTAAGATATCTGTCCTTCTAATCCTGTACCCCATGTACTGTAGAAGGGAGGCACTGAGGCACTGAGGCACTGAGGCACTGAGGCACTGAGGCACTGAGGCAGATCACCCCACACGTGCTCCAGGGCAATAAGACCAGCCCATTTGCTACCAAGGAGAAATCCGTTTTTTACACCTACTGTAAAGCTGTTTGAGATGCTTCTTTAAAAGGCACTATATAAAAATTATTATTATTATTATCAATATGTTTATCCATCCACAGGTTTGAAAAAGGCCAAGAAAAGATTGTGGCTTTGGATAAGATAATTGTCCACCCGCGGTACGACTGGAAGGTTAATCTAAATCGGGACATTGCTCTTCTGCACATGAGGAACCCAGTCTCCTTCAGCGACAGAATCGCTCCCATCTGCCTGCCCACCAAAGAGGTTGCAAAGACGTAAGACAGCGCCGCTGCTAAAGCTCCGATACAAGCATGAAACTGTGGTTCGGCCTTCAAAATGAAATCTTTTTTAAGCGCTTTATTTTCCAATTCAACTTGTAAAAATGGCGGGTTAACATTATATAAACATGATGTACCTGAAATGTGGTGAGAACTCGAGAATACCGATCTCTCTCACATACTTCTTCAGAGGAATCAGTATCATTAGACCTGTAGGGACGCGAGGAGCCGCAGTGCCGTACTGTGACGTTTAGAGACGAATGAAGAAAATGGACGCAGTGTCCTGCACTCCTGCAGTGTTACAGGGAGTGTTATAGTCTGGGTACAGCCATGGTCTCCCTATGTTAATACCTTTACTGGAGGTTTGAGTGACCATTACTTACATATTGAAAATGTTTCCACTTATGGTACAGTAGACTATTCCTGATAATGTTATCCCCACCTCTCATTTATTTCTGAGATGTCCCGTACAGCAGCTGTTTCTAACACTTCACCTACGACAGGTGTCTGTTTAAAATGCACTCATACCAGGTCAGAAGTACTGACCCCAGGCCAGAGTCAGATTTCTACTGATCGAAAACACAAATGTACCAAAACGGAGCCTTGATGTCACCCACTAAAGCTGTGTCTCGTTGGTCTCTAGCCTGATGTTTGCTGGTTTCAAGGGGAGGGTAACTGGATGGGGAAATCTGTTTGAGACCTGGTCCAGCAGCCCCTCCTCCCTGCCCTCCACACTACAGCAGATTCACCTCCCGATTGTGGATCAAGACACCTGTCGCGCGTCGACAACAATCCGGATCACGGACAACATGTTCTGTGCAGGTACTGCGCGTCACCTCATCAAGGACCGACAAGCGTCACCTCTATGGGGTCATTTCAACTGTCTCAAAAAAACATGCTGGCTGTTGAAATAAGAAACCCTAAAAATCAAACTGAAATGCATTTTCATCCTGAATTTAAGGAACAGAAGCTGGTAGACCCTGGTTAATCTGGAAAACAATTCATGCAAACTTTGCACATTGTAATGCTTTTTGTGTCCTTCCGTTTTTTTTTCCTTAACATGTAACTCTGCTTCTTAGTGGCTTAGAACTGTAGTAAAAAGTGGGAAGACGGAAGTGAACAGTGAGGTTTGTTAGAACCAAAAGTCTTGAAACTCATTTGCATTTGTTCAACATAAAATTAAATTGCTCAACGCTGGGGATATAAAAAAAAAACGTTATGGCCCATAGTGAAAGTTTTGCAAATATTTTTAGTGATAATGCTGTTGTTCTTCATTTAAATATACATTGAAAAAAACAGTAGCAGAAACAGTTCAGTTCTGAACTGAGGTGTTTCTGTACAGATGTCCTGTCATCTCAAAGATCTCCCTGTGTGTGCGTGTGCGTCTATCTGTCAGTCTGTCTGCCTCTGTGTCTGTCTGTGTGTCCATCATCCAGAGTGCAGTCCTGACCGGTTACATTCCAGCTGTGTCCTTCTAAGGAAAACGCTGTCATCAAAACTGGCTGGATAGAAAACAGAACAGAAATGGGAAGAGGGTGCAAAGACTGTTCGCAATAATCACCACCATCTTTTTGCATGTGCTAGGGTTCAAGCCTGAGGATTCAAAAAGAGGCGACGCTTGTGAAGGAGACAGCGGAGGCCCCTTTGTGATGAAGGTACGCGAGGTAGCAGCAAAGATTCAAGCTGTCCAATTTATTTTTTTTCACTGTAGGTATCCTAAGTTAACGACATAATATTAAGGTGAGGAGAAAAAACTTTCTGCTTCCATCTGATCTGCTAGAGAAAGGCTCTGTGGCTCAGGATCTACGCCTGGGGCTGGAAGGTTGACGGTTCAAATCACGCTGCCGGTAGAGGAATCCTACTTCGTTGGGCCCCTGAGCAAGGCCCTTCACCCCAACTGCTCCAGGGGAGCGGTATAAATGGCGGACCCTGGGCTCTGACCCCAAGCTTCTCTTCTTGTCTGTGTGTCTCATGGAGAGCAAGCTGGGATATGCAAAAAGACGAATTCCTAATGCAAGAAATTGTATATGGCCAATAAAGTGATCTCTTTAGAGGGTCGAAAAGCCCACACAGATTTATTTTTGCAGCCCAACGGTAGTTTAGTCCTGCACTGTGATTATTTTGCCCTTTAGATCCAAAGCCTAGTAAATGAATCGGATGGAGAGTTTCACTGGGGGTGAAAAGATGATATACAGTATTAAATCTGGTTATGGAGAAGCACTGCGTTTTAGGCTATGTATTCTTTCTGAAAAGAAAAACATCCGAGAAACTTGGGGAGAAAAGCAGAAGTAAGAGGTTACAGCACTTTTTCCGTTTTTGCACCTTTGATTTCTTTGTTCCCCATGTGCGTTGCCGCAGCCTATTACTGAAGGACCCTACTGTACGGTAAGGCGGACCCTGTGGGCTTGCGCCCGCGAGAGGAAGAGACATTTTTTTACAGTATTTGACGCGTCGCTTTGTTCCCAGAACCCGGACGATCAGCGCTGGTATCAGATTGGGATCGTGTCGTGGGGCGAGGGCTGCGACAGAGACGGGAAGTACGGCTTCTACACTCACCTGTTCCGCATGAGGCGCTGGCTGCTGAAAGTCATCGAGAACCCCGTCGATGGCAGCGAGGATTGAGTTCTTGTGCTTCTTTAAAGGTCTTTGTACATGCCAATACGGGAAAATAAAGATGCTGTCCAATCCGAGCATCTCATTACTTCTTACCGTTCTCTGATTAGTAGCAGTATTCAAGGCCAGTGCACTTTGAGTAAAGGCATTGGAAACCACAGCAAAAAAAAAAAAGGTATCCTAGATGTATTAAGATGCCACGATGCATTTACTGGGTTAAACATTTGCAAGGGCCTATTTGATCTGTTTGATCTAATATTTGACTCTCCAGGACTATTTCCTCCCTCAAACAAGTCTGATGAAGGTGTAATCTGGGATATAATAATCATCATCATCATCATCATCATCTTTATTTTATATTAAGCCTTTAACAGTTGCTTCTCAATGCACTTTATACAATAACATGAATAAAATACATGAGAGGAGATAGTAAATGAGGGTGTGAAATACAGTAGGAAAACAAAGCAGCACATAACCTGGACTTTTGGAGCAGTGTAGTTCACTGCTCTTTAGGGAGTGGTGCAGTGTGTGCAATATGAGTCACTCCAATCGAACTGATGGGGGCAGAGCAGATATACCTGTACACCTGTCACACATATAGCAAGAACACTCTCTACATGTAGAAGTTGGGAGAACACATGCGTTTAGAGAAGCTGCCCGTAAGAAAGATCATAGGCCTGAATACTGTGTACAATTGTGATTTACATGTCATAAAAAGAAAACACCCCTGCACTGGAGTCACTTAAAAGAGAATTGGCCAGGGTTGTCCCACATCAACGTGTTCAAGGAACTTAATACCTTTAGTCCTGAACAACTGCGAGAGGGCTAGATGAAAGCACGAAGAAAACTGAAGGATATTCACACGGTCAGTCCGAATGAACTTCTTCAGGATCAGTAATGAAAACACAGACCAGTGGCAGAAATGGAAACCAAGGGGTATCTCTTCAATACTGACACATGAGACGCTTCTTTACTCAAAGAGCGCAACAAGCCTCAGCACAGAGAAGGTTGTTGGCTGATATGGTGCCATTTCTTAAAAAGCAGGCTTTGTTACTAGAAGCCAACGACTTCTTCTTTCACTACCTTCACGCAAGGCAAAGAGTCGCTGCCAGAGATACCACTGTGCTACTAATAGTAGTGCGCAGGCGGAAGCAGTTTGGGAGCGGTTACCAAGGAGAAGCCTGCATCCGCCTTTAAACCGGATGTTTGCTTGTCACAGAACCCTTCGTTTAAAGGAGACCTGCTGCTACCCTGCGTGTGTGTGGTGGGAGTTGTCTGTCAGAGAAAAAAGGTAAAACCTGCAAACTCGAGCTTTTATTTTCACCGTGAGCTTTTTTCCATGTCCACGAGTTGATCGATGCACGTTTTGTGACAAAGAGGAATACGGTACTTACTGACTGCAACGCTTATAGGTCCGACACGATTACAATGATTTGGGGGAAAAGGCAAAGATCATTGCATTGCAACATTTACCTACCAATATAAAACATCATAATTAACGTCTTTTGTTTTGGTACAAATAGTTTTCCTAGAAGCAGATTCATTCGTGCCCGGACAGGTGTGTGCTTTCAGTTAGGTACCTGGTTGTTTGTCTTTTTGCGAGCTGAGCGAGGTATTTGCAGATGTTAAATGGATCTGTGTAGTTGCGCGTTTGTGATTTCAAGATGAACAGTTGGTGGGCTGCTCTGCTATAGATCAGAAAGGGTTTGACAGAATTGTGGTGTGTTTTCTTCCTCCAACTGAAAGAGGTGATGTCATCTTTGTTTTTGTAGAAAACACTCGTTTTCGACACTGTATTTCAGTGCGGTTCCACTACAGCTCTTCCCTTTGTTATCTTGCATATCTGTGCATTTTTTTCTTACTCGTACGTCTAATAACGGAAATATTTGTATTTATTATAACAGCATTCTTAGAAATAATAATTACATCCTAAGACTTAAAAGACCTACATTTTTTCGTACCCTTTGGTTTCTTTGCTATTAGTGTTTTTGATAAAAAAATGAAAATGAGCCTCTAGACCCGGTCAGCCTCTGGACAGATTGCTGTAGCACTGCGTTCGCCACTTTCTGTGCAATCCAGCCGGGATTGCCGTGCTGGGCGATCAACACTTCCAGAAGGCTTGCAGAAACAGAAAAACTGAAAGGTTGTGGACTTCACCAAGGCCACACTGAGCAGAAAGGGTGGGTTCAGAGCGCCCCAGCAGTGTTCCTGTGTCAGAGAATGTTCCTCCCTACGTACAGTGTCGCCAGCAGCTGTATCAACCTGCAGCTCACAGCTGGCAGCCCACTGGAGCTCAGCAGGTGTGAGTCTGGACAGTATCTATATGGGAGACCTCCTGGGAAAGCTAACATTGCTGCTGGAAGAGGTGTTCATTTGGACCAGCAGGGAGAGCTCACCTTGTGGTCTATATGGGTGGGGATGCCCAAGTATAGTATTGAGGACATTATACTGTAAAAAAAAAAAGCACCATCATTCAGATGAGATGTAAAACTGAGATCCTGACTCTTAATGGTCATTAACAATCCCAGAATGTTTCTTGAAATTTCCCCTTGGTTTTTACCATTCGTGGTCTCTAATAATCCTCATCTTTGAATTGGCCTGATAGTTGACATGTGGTGAGCATACAGATGCACTTTGGCTGCCATTGCATCATCCAGGTGGGGGCTACACATTGGTGGTGGAGGGGAGTCTCTATTAGCTGTAAACCCCTTTGAGTGGGACATGAGCTCTCTATAGGTGTAAGGTTAATGTCCCCATCAGCTGACCTGAGCTATACACCTGTCAGCATAGTGCTCAACACATCATTCCCACATGCATTGTTTTGTGTAAGGTCTGTCAATGGTGAAATCCGGGACAAAAATGCTCACAGAAGACAGAGGTTTAATTTCTTACCTGTCAGCGCTACCCCTGCATCTTTTTCAGTTAGAAGGGGAGCTGAGGTCATTCTGCTGATGCATGAATTGTTCCTTCCTGGAATTTCTCATGCTCATTCTCATGGAGTCAGTGCAGTCAGAGAACAACTTCACTTGGGGGATGAGATGGCTATGATGGTTCTGGATCGGTGTGCTATGCCTTTGCCTTAGTTCCACCGAGCAGTACTAATGAAACAAGTCCATCAGTTCACTAATTAAAATGTAAATAACATTATACGTGTGCCCAATGAGCTATTGATATAACACAGCAGACAGTTGTAGTTGTGCATCAGGACTTCAGTGCCTTCAGTTGTAACAGTGATACAAGTCGTATTTGTTATAAGGTAGATATTATGCTATTTTAATCTTTCTTTGATTGCCAATGCAAACTTTAATGAGTATTTAAATTGCATCCTGTACTGGACTCTATGATGCAGTTCTGTAGACTGTTGCTCAGAGATTAGATTTTGATGCAGTGATTTTAATTTTTAAAAATATTGCTATTGCCACTGCCAGCAGAATCATGTATTATAAATAAACCTTTGCAGTTTGTGTACATTGTAACAGTACTGCTACTCCAGGATCAGTGCATCTGATTTGATTTACATGCTCATTTGAAACTCACTAGGATCCATAGGGGTCAGTTTATTGACCTGCCACTCCCTCTTGCGGAGGATTTTGAAGAGGACTGAATCATTATTGCCATCACAACCCCCCAGTGTTGAAATATCTGTTATTTGAGCTGACCTTGACAAAGTTTTACATGCAGGAACAGTACACAAGCATAAACACTCCCTACCCACCCATTCTTGCAATGGGAGGTCAAAGTGAGCTGTAAATACTTTTCATAAATGGCCCAAATTTAAAAACTGCAGGATAAAAGTAAAAGCTTGAAGTAGTTGTGAAAAAGATGTTGTGCAACTCAGTTCAAGGTGGTGTGATCACAGGAAGCAGGGCAGTGGCACTGGGTTCTCAGCTATTTCTTGGTTAACCTTGTTTTCTGAGTAAAAGTGTTGCTAGAGGGATGTGTATTTGGGCAGACCCTTTTTGCTTAAGTCCCCTTTATTCATGTTTCAACACGCAGCTGTAATGTGACCACTTTTAAGTAAAACTTGTTTGAAGAGGAAACATTATGAAACATACTTGGAAAGACACATGCCTCACTCTTCTGAATCTGGATGTCTGTATCGGGTATGTACTGTATGAAGCAAAGATGTGGTCATCCAAAAATCTGATAATATAGTATGAGGTTCTCAGTAAATAGAGCCGACTCAATATCACTTTTGTAGGCTACCGGGTAGTTTTGATACTATGCAGTAACGAAGGAACACAATTTTTAAATTTTCTTTATGATTTTAGGTACATGCTTGCAGTACACAAATATTTTTTTTCTGAAACTTTTATCTATATTGTTTTTAATTGATAATTGTACTGCTTCTTAAATGCATTCCACAACAAATCTCATTTTGTTTTAGTATGCAATTCAAGGTGCATTCTTAAAAGGTGTACTGGTATTAATATCATAGTATAATTTTCTCAGTGATTGACAGAGCCTGGGTTTCTTAGTTCTGTAAAATGGGCTATTCAGGGAAATTCAGATTGGTGTGTTTCTGAGCCTAAATTCATAACTGAAAATTAATATATTATTAGAACATTATTTCAGTTAATCCCTGAAGCTTTACCACGAGTTTGTTTCACAGGTTAAACATTACAAGAATTCATAAAATAAACCATCTTCTTCGTAAAGTGGTAATTATCATTTTCCCATCTTTTAATGCAGAAAGTTCTCTTTTGAAGTAGTCAAGACTTTTATTAGCCCCCAAGAGAACATTATGACATTCTGAGAACAAACATCTTGCATAAATTATTGATGGTAAAATAGAAAATTCTCAGCTAGTTTTGTTGAATATTCGGGCAAGTAAAGCCATACAGTTGTGTGAAACAGACTTTGGTACTGTCTTGATGGACTTGATAGTCCGTCTTTAAATTGTTCAATTTTCAAACCTAATGACACCTTAATTTCTCCCTTTTTTACTGGATCTCTAACTTTCTTGAATGATAGTTTCTGTTTCTGAATGAAGGAATGAAGATGCAGCTGTCAGTGAACAGTTGACCTCTTGTGTGAATTCCTTTAACCAGAAAATCACATGACTTCTGTTAATAGTGAGCTGGTAGGTACAGGCAGATACCTGATCTCATTATCATGTGACTCTAAAAGATAAGGAAAATGAATATAGCATATAGATGAATGAAATTCTAGGTTAATTTAATGTGGTTAAAAGTCTGAACTAAAAGTATATAAACTATCCGGTATGTATAGCAGAGATATCAGCTGTCATGTCAAAGAGTTAGGAAATGTCAGATGTTTATGAGTGCTTTTATTTTTATTATTATTATTATTATTATTATTATTATTAAAAATAATAATAATGTTGTGTGATTTTCTATTCAGGTGAAGTAGCACAGATGGAGATGCAAATCTCTTATTCTCTATGTATATATACAATTGTGTATAAGTCTTTGGATTCAAAGGACAGGCATATGTACAGCTTATATAGCTAGTAAAGACCATCATTGTCACAACCGTGGTATTTGTGTGCTTTTGTGTTCTCAAAGAAGACACTCAGACTTGCATTTGGTAAGATGTCCCAAAGCAAGATATCCCTGCAGACTGTCCCTCAGGAACCCTTAACGCTCCCATTGTGCAGCCTGTCCCTGCACACTGCAGCTGGTGATGAAGCTTGGCAGCTTATAGCACTTGTATGATTATATGATTAAAGCACTTGTATTCACAGCAGCTTGGCGAGGGAAGCAGAATATTTCAGAATGTCTGAAGGGGAAGCCAAATGCATGTACAAATGTACTTCCTTCTCAATGCAGGATATGACAATTGCTCCTTGTAAATCTGTAGAATTCTACCGAACCTGTGAAAAAAAATAAAATGCTGCTTTAAATCTGTAAGCTAAGCCTCTTGTTTCTTTCTTCTTTCATACTTATACGAAGTATTTTATCCAATTTATTAAAAATAATGGTCATTACTAGTATTCTAAATCAGCATGTTTTTGCTCCATTACATTTCCTCTTATCTTACAAGTAGTTTTTGCCGTGTAAGAACCGAAGTGGAAATTCTCTGCATTCCTTCCTAAGTGCATACTAAAAACCTCTTAGTTTCACATCCTAGTGGAGATAGTGACCTCGTTTGCTGACTGTGTAAATTGCTGTGCCTAGTTCTGAAATATTCCTGTGAATTGTCACTTTTTCAGTTTTTTGGTCAACCTTGGTGATGCTGACGTTTCTATTTTTGTTAAATAACATAGAAGTGACTAAAAGCTGCTCCTCAGCAGCGAAGGCCACAGTCCTCGTTTTAATGTACGGTCTGTACCAGATCCCGGCGCTTTGTAAAGCATTTCAAAAACCAGATTGCGCAGGCTGTATGCAGCAACAGAAAGCACAGAACATGGATGTATCCTTTTAAATCTCTGAAAAAGACTGTGTGGATGTGCGTCCTGCAGCTCTGGGAAGATGTGTACCTGACAAGCGTGTCTGGTGCTCAGTTGCAGGGTGGAAGTGTGGACAATGGCCTCTGACCCCTTGATAGACCTGCAGGATGACCTGTCCAGTGAGGATCCAGCCAATACTCTGGAGCAGCTCAAGATCTCCACGTTGGCAGAGAAGGACTGGCCTTCCGATGAGACGCAGGAAATGAGCAAGTCGGGTAAGTTGTTACGCAGGCTGTTTTTTAAAAAGGTTTGGCATGTGGTTTTGCTGTGCTTACCGCTGTTGTAACTTATAAAGCTCCACATACAGTCCTTGTGAAATTTACTACCTACATTACCAGCCATTGGATGACTTTTTTCTACACTTTTTTCCATGCGATTATTGTGATCTTTTGGAAAGATCACACAGTTGGCTTTTGTAGATCTGGTGAGTATATCAGATATAAGTCGCAATTCCAAATACTGTATGTAAAAACAAATGATAGCAGATCTAGGAGTAATGTGTACATCTCTGGTTTCGGCATCAAACAAAATGCTGGTTGCCTTAGTAAAATGTTTTGTGCATTTTCCCTGGCTGTCAAAGGCATAAAGTATGAGGCAGATTAAAGCAATTCCACTTCGTGGGCTTACTAAATCATGACTAAAGGGGCAACGTGATTAAAGTTGAAGTTAAGTTAAATTGAAGTTAAATTTTTAGCAATTGTAATTCCTGAAAAAAAATTAAGCTTATTTCATTTTTAGAACTAAGCTCATTAAACACAGGGCGAAGAAATACTTGGAGAATACTCTAGACAGATACTATATTAGAATAAAAGTTAATTATTAATTTATAGGAGAAGTCTATATACTGGACTGGAGGGTTGGATTGGCACTGTAATAGCATGACATAGTGTTTCTGAAAACGGTGAGCTTTGATCTGTGCTTGTCGTAAATTCACCTCTGGAAATACTGTAATCTTTTTGACTGAGGATGGAATTCGGGTTTATGATGAGATCTTTTCTGCCAGACACTTGCACCTTAACACTGCAAAGTCCAGTTACAGTATTTAATTTCTTTGTCATTGATTGTTCTTTTCACTGCTTTGTCTTCTGTCTTCTGCTGGTTATTGTAAATGAAAATCCGATCTTACTTGATTTATCTGGTTAAATACAGCATTGTAATTAATGATACTCCTAATAGTAAATGTCTTCATTCTATTAGCCTCTATGGTTCTGTGTTTTGCTGAGGTGTTACAGCAGAAGGACTGGTCAGCTGAGGAACTTGCAGATCAGTATCTGTTCTGCATATTTAGTGGTTGACTGGAGCCAATTCTATAGCAACTGTGTTTCTCTGAAATCAGTTACGTTTGCTGCTAATACAGAAGACCATATAAATAGTACCACTGTCTCTCTTTTTTTTTTAAAGTTCTCACTACTCTTTTGACAGGGTGTTTTTAAAATGAGTTATGCACTCTGGATTTGATATTGTACAGAAGACTTCCACTTCAGTACCCTGTCTGAGTCTCTCAGCAGTCAGGCCTGTGGCATTCAGCACTGCATTACATCATCATCACCCCCTGCTATAGAATCGAATAGGCAAGATTTAGACTGCAGTTAGACTTGGCTGATGGTGAATTAGCATTTCTTCACAGTCGCCACAGAGGAGCAAACTGAAATCAAGTTAATGGGCTTCCTCATTAAGCAGTGAAGAACCCATTAATGGAATATAAGTCTGAAAGAAAATGAGGTGGAAAGCACTGTGTTGAACCTGAGCATGTTATTCAGGTTACATCACCAATGACTAACATAATCAGAAAGAAGCGTGTGTCGATGCACTTCATTTTGCTTGAAAAGGAGGACAGGGCGGGTGCTTGGGTTGCTTTATGAAATGAATCACTGAGCCATAAATGATTATATGCTCTAGCACAGTATGTAAGTGCCAGTAATGACTCATTCTTCTGATTCTGATTTGCAGACACGGATGTTTCCAAAAAGTTGGATTCGGGTCTGCACTTGAAATGGGATGATCCATACTATGACATTGCAAGGCATCAGATTGTGGAGGTGGCAGGTAGGATCAAGAGGGTGCCTTCCATTTTCTATCAGTGTGATGGGGGGGGGAAGGAAAAAATGTTTTTCAAAGGAATAATATGCACAACAAATTACAACTTATCTGATTAGCTTCATGGAAAGATTGTTCGCAAAAAGATGTTTTTAGAAACCAGTGTGACTCATGCACTTAATTTTGCTTGGTAAAATAGTTGAATGTAGGAAATGTAGAAAACATACCTCACAATAATAGCTTTCTTCACTTTTTTGTTTTTCCCATTGAGCACTATTCAATAGAGATATAGAAAGAGTAACAGAATTTGGTGAAGTGTCCATTGATGGTTTTGAAACTGTAGCCATTCTAGAAATTCTTGGTTTACTGGAAAAAAGGTGCCTGTAGATTATCTGAACTAAAACTACACTCTGTTTTACCCTCAATGTCATTTTCTTTCCACTGCCAAGCAAATCGAATCCATTCTGTGCATCAGAGAGTCAGAGTTAAGGAGGCAGGTTCTGCAGTTCGCAGCAGAACAGGAGAAGCTTGTGACCAAAAAGACTTTCACACAGAGAAAGACTGTGCAAAACTGAAGAGAGAGACAGACAAGGGGACACTGAAGACTTCTGTGATTTCCCACCAAATAAACATGAGAATTCTTCTTAACAATGCTCACATGACCCGATCAAAAGCACTAAAATACCATCTGATCCAGGACCCTTCCTTTGATTTTTTTTCTGTAAGCTCTTTCTGAATTAAATTTGGCTATTAAAAGGGCTGGAAGTCAGACCAGATGGATATAATAGATATAAGTATGTTCTTGGCAGTTCCCCTAAAATGTGGTGTTAGAATCTCAGAGGGGGAGAAAAAGCTTATGCTCACAATTGTGTGAGTTCACAAAAGGCTGGCTTTTTAATTTTATTTTGCAGAAGAGGAAAATGTGGGCAGGCTTTGTAGGCAATGTGAAACTCAGCAAGGCCTGTATCTGTGGGAGGTTTTTGATGTCTTTCTCTCCTGTTGGGAAGTGACCGTGAATGAAGGTCTTATCTGAGACCAAAGTTCTAAAAATAAATTTCTGAATGAAAAACAGCACAGCATATGAGATCAAGGAAAGTCACAGACCTGCTGCATGAATCTTGTATACTGAAGGAAACTATGTAAAGAATGACATATGGACTGTGGTTCCAACATTTACACGTTTGACAAACAAATTGCTTTACCATTTGGGGGAAGAAGCTGAACAAACTTTTAAATTTCGGTAGATTGGGCAGAAAATGTGTGAATACCCAGGGATGACAAGGTGAATGAGGGGACGTTTTACAAATAATTAGCTCTTTAATTATACTATAATATTTCTGTTTTTCATTGCAAGATTTTGCTCTTCAGTAAATAAAATGACATTCATTTTGTTTTACATATTACTCTGTTGCATAGCTAGGCGAGTCTTTCTCTTGCATTAGCAGTTGTATTCTTTTGTGTAAAGGTGATGATAACTTTGGCAGGAAGGTTATTGTGTTCAGTGCCTGTCGGATGCCTCCACACCATGAGCTTGACCATCACAAACTGTTGGCGTGAGTATCTGTTTCCTGCTGATTATCATTCTCGGTTCCTCTTACAGCAAACTGGTCAGTTCTGCTTATGAGCGCTTTTTACATTCATGTTTTGCAGCGAGTCAGATAAATTCTTTTGGAATTGTTTAAAATGCCTTAGTTGTGCATTTTCCCTTTTCTTTCATCGTTTAGTGTTTGCAAAACACCAGAATAGCAGTTTCTGGGCTGATGGATTTTTTATTGTTAAATTGCTTGTTTCTATTGTTTTAAATGTTCCTAGTCCTGTATATGTTTTTTTAGCCCGTACTGCATTTTAAAGTACTGCTGTTATTATTGTTCTTCATGTATAAATCTGGATTATATTTATAGGTTTGACTTTTTTTACTTTTTCATCACATGAAGCATATGAACTTATGCAGGTATGCTGTCATCTTCTGTCTTTCGCAGGTACCTGAAGCATACCCTGGACCAGTATGTTGAAAATGACTACACTCTCATTTATTTCCACCATGGGCTCACCAGTGAGAACAAGCCATCCCTCACCTGGCTCAGGGATGCCTACAGGGAATTTGACCGAAAGTAAGTTGTACACTCTTAGTTATGAGTTGCTTTTACATAGTTTCACATATCAAGTACAATAGAAACTAAAAGGTTGTAGATATGGAGTTTAAGATATAAAAAAAAATCATTCTGCATTTGTAAGTAGGAAAAAAATACATTCCACCCTAAATTAAATTATTTCAGGTGGGTACCTGTAGCTGTGTCAGCATGCGTAAGCTGCAAAGGATCAAATTTTATTCCATGCTGAAAAAAAAAAAAAAGAAAATGCAACGTTTCAGCCGTGGAGCCTTCTTCAAGACGACTGAAGAAGGCTCCATGGCCAAAACGGCATGGAATAAACCTATTACTTGTCCCTTAAATGAAATTATGCCAGATTCATGACTGATACTACTGTAATTCTTCTTCCTTGGCTCGGATGCAGACATGCTGACCTGCTGTTTGCACTGGTGACTATGATGTAATGAAACCAGGTTGCTGCTATATTAGTGGACCAGGGATCCACTAATCCTCTTGCCCAGTGTGTTGAGACAGCACAGTTGGCGCTGTCCCTTGGACAAGAGGTCCTGAATATCTGGTCACTATGCTCTGATGTTTGTTAGAGTAGAGATGTTGACCAGGATGTCCTGACTAAATTCCTGCTGTGCATTTTGAGCTGCCTAAATCCCTAAAGAATGGATGTTGTGTTTCAGTAGTGGATGAAGTGTGTCACTTCCTGTTTGTAAAGCACTCTGGGATCCTTTGAGATCAGAAATCTTATGCTAACTCAAGGAATCGATAATGATTATTATAATGGTTGATTTCAGGTACAAGAAGAATATCAAGGCTCTGTGCATTGTCCATCCCACCACTTTCATCAGAACACTGCTTATTCTTTTTAAGCCAATTATCAGGTAGCTTTTTGTCTTTAACTTTTTTGATGTCCATGTTATTAAAGAAATACTGCAAACTAAATTGTAATGCTTTAAAATCCTATACTACCAATATTTTTACCTTTGTCACCCTAACTATGCCAAATACTGCTCTCGTGTTCCAGAGATGTTGAAAATTTTAATGAGCTACTCAATTTTCACTACATAAAAAAGAAACCATCAGCAGACATTACCACCGACTGGCTTGACTGTCCTGTTATGATATAATATTTATTTAAAGTCCATTTTAATTTTTTTTCTGTTGGATTAATAAGACATTCTACTGGTTTTCTTACCAAAGGTTGACTGGATTAAATAAACATGAACACTAATGGTGCTCTTCTAGGTTAACACACGTCACCTGTTGTGGGATGTGTCAGCTGTAAATTGTGTTTAGCACAGTTCTGCAATTAAAGTGCCTAAACATCCATACAGAAGTGCCTATTAGTGGCTTTAGACAAATGGGAAAGTTAGAACAGTATAATTTATGTGATAACCACTGACCAGCTCTAAAATGTTCTTTATGCCCTGTATCCTTGCCAGCTGGAAGTTTGGAAGGAAGATATTCTACATGAACTATCTGAGCGAATTGGAAGAATACGTCAAGTGTGAACAGCTGGTGATACCCCAGAGGGTCAAGACGTAAGATGAATGTTTTTTTAAATAAAAAATATTTAGAATTTTGTATGTAATTTCTTTCTTTGCTGTGCGTTTTTAAAACAAGTACTAAAGCAGCACATTATTGCTTCTCCATGCCAAAAAAATAAGTTTAAAGTGGCTTCTGAACACCTTGTCTTTCAGTGATGCTGTCATTACAAATTGAAAGCTGAAAAGTCTTGGGGAAATTTGTGCAAGGAATCTGTGAAAATAGTCTCTGTGTTTTTCAAGGCTTTGTATTACTGAATGGCTAAAATGAGAATTATTTTTTATCAATCATTAAAAATATATTTTATACTGACAAGGAAACTTTTAATGTTGATTGTTTTCAGTGATTTCTGAAGGAAATTAATTATTTTAATATTATTAATACCTTGAGACCCTAATGCTCAACAGATGGTAGAAGGTTTAGTACTGAGTAAATGTATCTATTTTTGCAGTTAAATAAATTAAGATAATTACTCAAGTACACTTTCCTTTAATGAAAATGTTCTTTATATTTACATACACCTGCATTTGTACTTGTTTTGTAACGGTTACTTCCTTAATTATGTTTTTGCTCATTAAAAACCAACTTTGAAAAATGAGGCACATAGAGTACTGTTTATATACAAGTAGGTATGTTTTTGTATGATTGAAAGGTTTGAGATTTTCCAAGGGTGGCCCATAAAATAATGCCCTGCATTTTCAAAACGTTCATTCTCACAGAAAAACAATTAAACTTGTTTAACTGGGAAATCTAGGGCTGTGAGTAGTTTCACTGCAATACATTTTGACCGAGAAAGGAGTGTCTTTCCGGCTGCCTTTCAAATGATAAAATACACATTTGTTTCAGTTCAGACACTGTGCTAGTTTTGAAAACTAATATTTTTTTTTCCAGTTATGATGACAAAATCAAGGCTGCGCAGAAGGTCTCACAAGCACAGAAACCAGTGCCGCCACATTCTCCACTGCCAGCCCAGCAATTCGGGCTCTTCCTCTCACAGTGCGTTCACAGCTTTTTAATCCGTTTTCCATTAGTGGTAAATATAAAGCAGCAATGTTTCCATTTGGTGTTCAACACCTGCACGTTTGACTCTTCATAAGCATGCTGTTTTTAGTAGAGACAACTGTTAACTTTTATGAGATTGAAAAAGTTAGGAATGGCCACGTCACAAAATGAATACTTTGGTCTGCCAGTCACAAGTTAAACACCCAGGATGTGATATAGACTTGTTCCTAGTGAAAAAACACCTTTAAATCCAGACTTTATTCAGTAATTTACATGACAGATGAGACAAAGAATTCACTGAATCCTTGGCAGGGGAAGGTTTTTTTTTAATTGCTCATTGTTTTTGCACAATTTTAAACATCTAGGCTTAAAAACACATTTTATTTTTAGTTTCACACATTCTGGCCAGCCTGAATCTGTGTCTTTTTTACAGTGCAATGCAGGCACTGATTGGTGTTTTGTATTATTTTGGAGAGCAGATTACAGGAGAAGAGTCCAGATAAAGACAAAATCCCCCTGGTAATGCGAGAGACAATCAGCTATTTGAGGGAGCATGGTGAGTCGATCCTAGTGAATGCTGCTTATTACTTCCTGTTCCATGACCATAAGAAATGATGTGCTAGTTGGCGACAGAAGTTAAGAAGACTGACTTCAAAATAATATAACATCTGTGCATTACTGCTGTGCAAATTGCTGTTTTTTGTTTTGCCCTAATTCTAGACATCTAAATGGTGTATATTATCCTGTTTTTATTATCTTATTGCTGTTGAGTTAATGCTGGTTGCTATGATTGAACTCTTTTAACATATTACCCTGAACTGAGGTGCAAGTGTTCCTCTGTTACAGCGGGTGAAGAACTCATTTAACAGGGCCTGAAGTGTTTAATGAAATTGCTGCTTAACCAGCTGTGTTTAATTATCCCGGAGAAGTTAATCAATCCAGAAGATAATGTCCTTTTTCACATATAATATTCTTCTGTTGCCTTTTCTATCTTAGGTCTTCAAACAGAAGGCATATTTCGAAGATCAGCCAATATATCCTTGGTCAGGGAAGTCCAGAATAAATACAATATGGGTAAGCAATGTACTGTAAAAGAAAAAAGCCATCTCAGATGCCTTGAAATATATTCAGGCAGCAACGTGCTGTTGAATCACTCGATATTCACATTTGTGTTTGAGGTCAAGGTCTTGGTGAGGGTTTAACAAAACTGATGTCTACTTTAGAGATGTTGTTTTGTTAAAATATGAAATGAAGTGCAGACATTTCAGTGTTTTGATTTACTTCGGTTTCGGTCTAATGTCGTGATTGTTCTTCTGGCACACCTTTCAAAAATGTAGAAAAAGTCTAAGACTGTATGCTGGTGTACATTTCCATGTGCGCCAGTGAACCTACTGTACGGAGTCTGATGGGGAGTTTTTGATTTTGAAGACAAAACACCATCTATCCATCCTGACAGATTCTGTTACGTAAGAGACACATACTCTGTGTTGGCTTGACTGTTGCTCTTCTTCCCTCTCCATGCCTCCAGGGGAAAAAGTGGATTTCCTCCAGTATGATGACGTCCATCTTGTTGCTGTCATTCTTAAAACATTCCTTCGGGAATTACCGGAGCCCCTCCTCACCTTTCGGCTCTACAATGACATTGTCAATTTTCACAGTAAGTTGCTGCCAACCTAATTAGGAGCTAACAACAGGTTATTGACTGTATCCCTAGAAGTGCCTAAATTAAGAAATACAAGATCAGATTTCTGAGTTACGGTTCAAAACATGAGTGAAGGGTGGCCCTGCATCTGAGGAGCATGTTTGCATGTCTGTGATGCAGGAATTACTGACACTTGAAACATTTCCTAAAATGGCCTGAGTTTAGGAAGGCATGATAGGGGAATGTTGTACTGACAAATACTGACATACTCATGGGCTGAGTAAAACAGAAAATAACCCAAATACCATGAAAAGGATTTTAGATCCTTTAGATGTTTGCATTTTTTTCTTCTTCTAGATCCCCTTAGTCAAGAGGAGATACCTTTAATCAGTGTGTAGAGGGCTCCGTTTTGACTGAGGCAATAACCTGCATGATCCTATTGATGACCACAGTCAAGACAATACAGGAGGAAATGAGTGGCTACATGCGTTTGAGAGTCTTACAGGCATTTTCCCCGAGTATTCCCTCTAACATCCTGATTTTCTGCAGGCATATAATGAAACTTGGTCACTTTTATAAATACCCCATGATTTTCTTACCCTTGAATGGATCCTTTTCACACTAAATGTTGAACAGCTATTGTGTTGAAGATTAAAAATTTAAATTTAAATCTTAAAACTAAATCCAAAGGTGCCCATGATCAAAGCCGTGCTCTTATCTGCAGATGTGGAAAACAGCAGTCAGGTGGCTGTACTCTGCAGCATGCTTCAGACGCTCCCAGATGAGAACTATGCTACTCTCAAGTATCTCATTCAGTTCCTGGCGCAGGTAAGAATTTGTGACCTTCTACAAAAAAAAAATACACCTTACACCTTTTTGGACAGGAGAAGCGATGTTTGAAGTATATACTATTTTCGGTCTGAGAAAACAAGAACGTTTTGTGTGGTATTTCTTTACAGATGTCGCACAGTCCTGTTTTTCCTCATACCATTTCTGACTTGAAAACATAAAGAAGATATATTTTTTGAAACTACATAAGAAAGGATACGAACAAGAGGAAGCCATATGGCCCATCTAGCCCACTTGGTATTTAGTAGAGAACTGACCTGAGGATTTCTTCCAGCCATTACTTGAAGGACATCATCCTCAACAACATGGCTAGATAGTTTGTTCCTTCAAAGTGCCTCCTTTTATTGGTTTTAAACTCAGTTCCTCAGAGATTCCACTTGTGTCCTCAGTCATGTGCCATTGTACAGCCCTTCAAGGGGTTAATGCTTCCCCGGTGCGTAGCGTGATGAATCAGATTAATCGGCCGCCTAGTACGATCTGATGCTTGTCTTCCTTTAAGGAAGCCAGTTTGATCAGAATGAGTTAATCTCTGGATCGCAGATGCTAACCTATTAGCCAGAACTTTACAAATTATTTTAAGGTCCACATTTAATCAATCAATCAAAGTTTATTGATCAAATGCACAACAATACAGCATGCAGGAGTAGTTGCTGGCAAAAAATAAGGTTACATAATAATAGATAATAATGTAATAGAAATTGAATAAAATAAACACAGACAAAACTCAATATAAACAGAGCTGCTATGTGTCCAGGGTGTATGCAGTATACTATGTCCACATAGTGCAGTGTGCACAGTACAGTGAAAACAGTATCTCCATGTAGCCATTACGAGTGATTTGCTAAAGGAGCTGCAGGTTGGCTAATAAGCTTAGTGGACGGTAGTTTGAGCAAAAGGATGGGTTCTTATCTGCAAACCTTTTTACCCCTGGTTAAACGTAGGGGTTTGCAGGTGGTCCTCCCAGCGTAGATGCTCAGTAACCCAGGTGATGGCATGAGAGGACAGCTGCCATTAGTTTGGAATAGGTGCCTGTCACCTCTGTTTCATAGGATCTTCTGGAATCTGCAAGCTTACAGTAACACTAGAAAGAGATGCGTGGCCCCTCGGATTGATACTTTGTTGGGGAACTCGGAGTGTAATGTGCACCTGCGACCGGTGGGCATGTCAAAAGGAGTCCAATTAGGCGATC